GTATACTAGTCCCTAAAATACAGTACAGAATATTTAAAATAGTTTCTGTTACAAAGCAGTTTATATTGCAAAAGGATAAAATTACACTAATCAGTAAAATACAGCACAGACTATGACAAAAGTAATTTTGGTTCTGGTGCAAGCAAGTCCAAAGTGCTTATATAGGAGGAAAGTTGTGAAAAAGAAGTAAAGCAACTAGTTGAGAACTATGGAGAGTTGGAGAACATATGTCCCATTTTAAAAAGGCAGCACCAAGCATTATTATATGGAATCTCTAGGTGATTTGCATGCTCAGAAATGCTAGTCTAGTGGACAATTTAAAATGAAAAGCGTTGGGGTGCCTGGGTGGGTCAGTCGGTTAAGCGTCCGATTTGACTGGCTCAGGTCATGATTTCATAGTTCAGGAGATCAAGCCCTATATCAGGCTCTGTGCTGACAGCACGGAGCCTGCTTGGGATTGTCTCTCTCTCTCTCTCTCTCTCTCTCTCTCTCTCTGCCCCTGCCCCACTTGCCCTCTCTCTCTCAAAAAAAAAAACTTAAAAAAATAAATAAATAAAATGTAAATAAAGCTTTTAGTTTGGAGGATTTGGTCTGTCTGGACTGTTGATTCATCTAGAACTTGAGTCTAGTTTGAACAATAAAATAATTTTTAAAATACCTTCTTCAAACGGTTAATAAATTCACCACCTCCCTTCACCCCCTGCTCATTACCAAAAACCCAAAACGAAACGTATGTATGACAGAGGAGTATATTTTGTGTTAGAGAGGTGTGAGGCAGAAGATTGTTCTGTTCTGCCCACCCTTGAAATTCTAGAATTCTAAAAGGACTGTTGCCCCCTTGTCCCAGGTTGATGCTGCTTAGATACAGGCCCTTGAAGACTGAAATAATTTGGCGGAAGGGATACTTTATGAAATTATATGCACAAAAGCATTCAGTCTGAAACACTGCCAGAACCCACAGGCACGCAGTCAGGCAGCGTGTCACCCGCCTACTCTGCTCACCGAAGCAGCTTACTCTGTCTTCATTGTTCCTGTTCTGACGCCTTCAGACTCCAACACAGGCTCCTACTTAGCCTTCCATCAAAACTGGGGCATGAACACCGACTGCTTGTTGTCTCCACCTACTGCTCACGTCCAGCCCACTCTTGATCTCATTCTCCCAAAGCAGCATCTGCCACCAACCTCCATCTCACAGAATAAAGGAAAAAGAACATACTAAGTGCTCATATTTGCTTTTGGGGCTTCTGTGTTCCAAGGGGTCCGTTATTTGATAATTTATCTGTTCGCATGCCTGACTCCACTCCAGACTGAGCTCGGCCTCAGCATCCAAAACATAACAGACATGCATTCAGCCTGCGTTCTTTCAACATGGGTACACAGAATGCTTCGGTGCTTTCCATACATTGTGTCATCTGTCATACACTTCAAAAGAGGCATTAGTACTCCCATTTCACAAATTACTGTTTAAAGACAGTTAAGAGGCAGCAGCATGATACTATCCAGACAGGGTTAACTCTAATATCCGATGTTGTCTATGGACCCCCTCAGTCTGTTTGGTGGTTATTCCTCCTGTATCTTCTTTTCCACCTTGTCCTTCCACCTTTCCACCCTATCCTTTTTCTCACTTCTGCAGATGGACTTTTTTTTTTTTTTTTTTTTTTTTTTTTTTTTTTTTTTTTTTTTTTTTTTTTTTTTTTGCCATCTTCTCCTGCTTCTCAGACTCAGTGGTTCAAACAGGGAACTGGGGTCTTTCAAGCCACCGGTATCACTTCTAGAACATTAATTTTCCACTTTCTTTCTGATTCTTGTTATTTAAAGTCTAGCTATAAAATTATCTGTGCTGTTGTCTTTCACTTTTCCCAGCCCAAAGGCACTATGATTTTAGCATCTCGATTTATGCTTTCTCTTGTACTCAACAATTTAATGATGCATAAAAATGACCCTCCAGATTCCTCAAACTCAGTTTTTCCGACTTTTTGTCTTGATAGAAATGTATATCCCCTTCCTTTTCTCCCAGTAAAGAACTTTATCTCATTTGATCTCATCAACACAGGAACACTTGCAATGTAAAGATCTCATAATTCCTAGTATCTCTCAAATCACATGGAATCCACTAAAACTATACCTTCCAACATGATTGTTTAGCCGTTTCTCTTAAAATACTCTTGGCTTCTAAAAGTCAAGTGCCACTTCATGTTTCTCTACTTCTTCATTTGTCATGGGATTAGGAACTCTAAGTCATTGGGATAAATCTAGCTTAGTGTGGATACTGAATTCTATAACGCTTTAATCTGTTTCATAAAGGTTTTAAAGCAGTTTCTTCTCAGCGAGGAACCATGGATGCCCCTTTCTCTGGGTCTATAATAGCAGGGCACCCCTAGGGGGCGCTCCGCCTCACAAAATATAAGTGACTGGAGCTTGACAGACAGAAGGGATCATTTCAAAGGTGTGGCCTCACAGAAGAACCTCAGCCCATAAGAAAGAGTTTGGGTTAGAAACAAGTTACAAAACCTACTTTGGTTCAGAGCCTTTGAAGAATGACTTGAGCTAGCCCTGCTTATCCAGGGCTAGAGCTGGAAGGGCTGAGCAACAAGCACTGGACAGATTGCCTTTCTCCTTGGCTTCTCTTCAGCTGACTCAGCAAAAGTAGTTGGTGTTTGCAGAAATGCCCTACTAGGAGCGTCCTTGTGGCGGTGTGTATAGTATTATATTGAGTTGAATTTGGACAAAGCCTGCTGTGTATCCCTTTCCGCAGGGCAAAATTACCCGCTACTATCCACTTATTATAGGGGCAAAATTATCAGGCAATTAGCCTTTGAAAGACTTAGTCATTAGTCCAGGAAAGGAGCAATAACAAGTGATAGGAGTTAGGTATCAAAGCAGAAAGATGACTTCCAAGTTTTTCTGGTGCATTCACAGGCTTTCCAGTTCTGAGGTCCAGACGGTACTCTGGACCCTCCTAGCCCCCATAAGAGTGACCACCATTCCCTCGAGTGAAGATCCTAACAATTCAAGCACGGAGGTCGCTTTTCGCCTCACCCTCGACCTTGGTCATCAGTCGACGAAGGGCTATTTGTTTTTCCAATTCTGTATTAAGGAAAAGAGATGACACAGGGGGTCAAACACCAAATGAGCATTTAAAATTCTGCAGGCTGCGGGTAGGCAGCCACATTTCCAGGGCAGCGGGAGACGCGGGTCCCCAACGGGGGGAAGCCCACTGTCTCCGCCGCGGGGCTGACGGCGAGCCACGGCAGCCCCGGGACCCCGCGCCGCCGGCCGTAGC